TATACATGGAAATATACTAGGCGTGAGGATCATCTTCAATCAACCGGGCACACACAGGGACCTCCAGGAGAGAAGATGTGGATGCAGTACGAGCACCCGTCAATCATATTTTGGTTTGTACCATGCGACACTGCCTTCATGGTCATAACTAACAACTTTTGTGAAGGGATCGAAGGCTGGTTCACAATGCAGACACCTAGAAACCATATTTCGTTGTTTGTCTATATAAAGGTGAAGAAGACCCCCCGCCCCGACTAATAGGAGGACCAATTTCGCATCTCCATCACCTCGCAACCATCATCACCATTCCTATCTATAACTGCAACCATATCCATATGCATTACAACCACAACCATAGCCTCCATCTTCATTAGTCATTATACTTGTAACCGATATTACATCGCGATCACCGATATTGTAAGACTTTCAATCATTCATGTTCAAGTAACAATTTCTACAATGTATTCGTGATGTTTGAGTAGTCCCATCGGGCTAAGGGTTGAGGCATAGCCTCGCAACCCCATGAACAAGAAAAAAGGTATTGTTAGTTTACTTTCAGAGAACATTATTATTATGAACAAGCAAAAAGAGCTGGAACATTGTGAGATAAGGTCTTGCAAAAATTTCTGTGCCAGGCATCATCACTTCCTGGATTAGACAAATGTTAGGATCTTTAGGGAAGAAGGCTTTATCAACATCAAAAACCGGATCAAAGGTAATCAACCCTTATTATGGCGCATTGTAGGTGAAGTATTTTATTACCCTGGTAAGGTTACTAGAGAACTTGTTGTTTATTTATTTATTTATTAGTTTGCTAGTTTATATTTTGCAATTTAAGACAAACCCCCAAAATTAGAATTATGGCCACAAAACTCTTGGGTTTGATCCAGGACGCACTTCTTCAATAGCTTTTTCTTAAAGATGGGCATACGATCAAACACACAAGACGCTCGAGAAATCAAAGGAATGGAATAACTCCAGCAACTTGCATCGAATATATGCCGGAGACACTGAGACAATCGAAGGCACCAACAAACATCCAACAATCTGAAGTCACGACATCAACAACATCAACCCTGGGTGATATTCACATGCAATGATTCATGTATGCATTTGCATTTTTTGATATCATTTGAATAGCTGAACCTTGCTTCTAATATTTTAAGTTGAGATATATATTATGGCAAAACTCTTGCAAATGTAATGTCAAAGGTATAAAAAGAGAAACACTATTAGTCTAGGCTTTGGGAGAAAAGAGCAGCACTACATCCGCGGAAGTATGCCATTGCTACTTTCCCCAATTAAGGTCACAACAATTAGGGTTCACATTTAGTAACCACATAAAGAAATTTTTGAAGAAAACAAGAGAGAAGTACAACCATGATATCTTGGGATTAGTTTCATGAATGCTAGCAACATCTTCCTTGCCCAGCTGCCAATCGGAAGTGATGGCGCATCCATGCATGTGGATGAGCTACCTGAAGGGGATCGACCGAGACGAAACGGTGGTATGCTTTTTTTTGGACATGAAATGGTAGTATGCTCTATGCACCAGTGTTCTACTTTCAAGAAATGATATGCGTCAAAATGGGCCTCCATCGCATCCTGTTGACCTATATTACTAGCTAGGCTTCATACCTGGGCTGCACATACACATAAGAAAAATGTGGGCTGCACAAAGCTGGGGAAACATCATGCTATACTAAAAAACATTAATCAGGTTCACAATTGTGAGAACTGAGTGACAAAACTTTGAGGAATTTTAAATGTTTCTCTTGAAAGTTAGAACATGGGTCTATCTGGTATATGATTTGGTAAAATGAATAATAGATGGAGAAAATAGAAAATAAATATGACCATATATGAAGCTGAATAAATGAATACAGAGTTGCCGAATAGAAAATATATGAAGTTACCGACATTAAATATTCAAATCTTAAATTAAATACACTTGAAAATTCAATAAATAAATATGACCAAAAGAAGATACGCAGATGAATAAGGAAGTGTTTAATACACAACAAAATAAAGTTCCTAACATTAAATGTTGAAAACTGTAAATTTGAAAACATATATCCACTTCTAGCCGCGCGAATGCGCAGGTGCACCTGCTAGTTTTTATTATTTTATCTATTTATCAATTCTTACCATACCATACAATTTATCCTTGTAGCTATCAGGACAAGAAGCTTGAAAACCTTCTTGAAGCGTTGGGAACAAGATTGTTTGTTGTGTATAGGTGTTGAGGGTTAGTGTTGTAGAAAAAAATTACTACTGGTTCGATAAACCTTGATTCTCAATCAAGGGAAATCCTTATTACTAGGTTACATCACCCTTACATTTTCATACCAACCACTCCTACGAAAGAGCATTGCGTCGTGCATCAAGCTCGTGCTATGGAGAGAGCGATGCACTTAGCCGCTTCAACCGGTTTATACTTCTGGCACTATATATCATCCATCCGTCCTGCTACTAGATACCAATGTGTACAGCAAACCATAATGTAAATTAGTGTTTTTACTATAAAAGGTTATCAATGTTATTGGAGGAATACCGAAGATCAGATCCAACCTCTCGTTCCTCCGCTGCATGAAACGATCATCACTGGTCACCAATGCTCAACGAAGCATCTTGGGTCAAAGCTTCCAAACGATTTCACATGTCTTTTGCCCTAGCGCTGCAACAACAATCAATTGAATGGAACATGATGAGATCAAAGGGTACATCTTAGACAACCACGAGTCTACGGAGGTTGGCATCAATGCTTGATGAAGTCCTAACCTAGGTGTGACTGGAAATGGAAATAGATCGAATGGAGTCAATGACAAACTTGATAGAACATGAAGGGAATCACCCGTATGCATCAGTGTGTATGTGTGTATCGTGGTGTCCAGTTTACCTCACGACAAACCAAAGTCATTTGAAACGACTTGATTGGCATATAGGCCATGACGAAGTGTTCAAGGCTTCAAATGGCGGCTGGATGCTACCAAGCCTCGCCTTATTACCGGCGGCGACAAAGATCTGGGAAGAACTAATAAGGAGCAGAAGGATCCGTCGATTAGTTATTTCAGAGAACTCGGGCTGCATACGTGCATCATGTAAGGTTGTGTACGGTTACTTTTTGACCACAGTGTGTTACGTATAAATGTATTGCCTAGTCTTTTCCATCAGATCGTTTTTTGTTGTTGCATTGGATAAAGCATGCACTTCTGCAGATTGACAACATTTTTTTCTGGACAGTGGATTCGAGTTCCCCATCTTCGTCTCCTCGAGCATCGCTTTGACAATTGCTTCAGTGGAATTATGCGCAATTGAGTCTAAAACAACCCTGTAAAATCCGTCGCGTTCCGATGGAGGAATCTACAGCAATCTCCGATATACCGAAGCCCGGTCGAATTTGTATGAGTTTAGGGCAAGGGGTCCAGCATCCAGGTCAGACATCCGTCACCATTCATCGGATATGGAATTCAAATATCAATCTCCCCTCAAAATTCCAGCTCGATCTGACCGTTCAAACGTTTGATGGGTGCATCAATTTTCAGATCTATTTTCTGCGCAAAAACCAATCTGCCCGAGTTCATCTTTCTTCATGAACGGGAAATTGGACATCCTTTTTGGAGGAATTACGGTATTGTGTGTTGTTCTTAAACACGTGCCCACAAATTTTGAACCTTTTCCGAGGCAATCTTCACCATCACGTCGGTGTCAAACCAGCCCGACAACGTTGCTCCACGGCTACTGACCTGCGCCAGCATCAACTGCGTCGTCCCTCTATCGAGCCAACGACAACCACATCGGATCATCACCTCGGCGAGCCGACCAAGAGTTCGGCATCGCAAAGGCCAAATAATCGTCAATACAACATCATCGCGCCACAGATTAAATGGGTCGGGCGCGCCGCCATCGCCGCCCGGTGATGTCTACTAGAACTACGTCGGTATTTCCCCAAAGAGGAAGGGATAATGCAGTATAGCGAGGGTAAGTATTTTCCTCAGTGATGAGACCAAGGTTATCGAACCATTAGGAGAACCTCCTCACACCACGTAAATAACACCTGCACACAAATAACAAATACTCGCAACCCGACGTGTTAACGGGGTTGCCAATCCCTTTCGGGTACGACGCCTTAAGATAGACAAATAATGTTAGGTAAAAGTGGTACATAGGATAAATAGATCGCGGAACAAATAAATTTCAGCAAGGTATTTTTGTATTTTTGTTTAATAGATTTGAAAATAAATGCAAAGGAAAAGAGATCGCAATGGCAAATATGATGAAAAGAGACCCTGAGGCCGTTGGTTTCACTAGTGGCTTCTCTCGAGAAAAATAGCAAATGGAGGGAAAACAATTACTGTTAGGTAATTGATAGAACTTCAAATAATCATGACGATATCCAGGCAATGATCATTATATAGGAATCACGTCCAAGATTAGTAGACCGACTCTTGCCTGCATCTACTACTATTACTCCACACATCAACCGCTATCCAGCATGCATCTAGTGTATTAAGTTCATGGAGAAACGGAGTAATTCAATAAGAATGATGACATGATGTAGACAAGATCTATTTATCTATTTATGTAGATATAGACCCCATCGTTTTACAGTGGGATTGCGGAAGAATGGCATGTGGTTTTTGAAAAGCAATGCATTTATCATTATTTCAAAAATATTGGTCAAGTGAACCTACATGGATTATATACCAAAAGTTTCACCAGATTAACTAGTGGATCAACATGCATGTAAGCAAACCAACATAATAATAGAGCTACAGTTGTGTCTAATACTGGTGGGAGACATCGTGAATGAGGTGTTTCAAGCAGAACGAGGAAGGATGTTGTGTACTATGAGACATTGGTTGGTGGGACCAATTGTTGCTATGAGTTTTTCATTCAGTGATGATTTCGTAGAAGTCCTCCTTTTTTTTACTCTACCTTTGCTTGTTTCCTTCTTTCCCTATATCTTGCTTCTCTACCTAACCTCGGCTCTCACCACCTCACTGAAATTGGTATTTTCTCATTTTGTAGAAATCTAGAGCGCCGGCCCTGTCCGCCCACACGTTCGGTGGCCGCGACCCCCAGTCCAACGCGTTCTTTAGAGCGCCTGCACAAACAGTAGATTTTTCACTTCAGAACCGGGAACATGGTGGGTTTCAGACTCTCTTTGACACTACACTGGGAGTACGTTTTTGCGTGAAAGAACAGAGCCGTGGACCTGAGATGGAGTAGTTGTACTCGGGGGAGGCGAAGAGGAAGCAGTCGGCGCCGCGGACCCTGCCCCGGAACTCCTTGACGGCGGCCGGGAAGGTGTTGCCGTCGACGTTCTCGAGGTCGGTGTTGAGGAGCGGCAGGTCGGAGATGTCTACGTGGTCGATCTGCAGCCCCGGGATGGACTCCTCGCACATCTTGGCGGCTTGCATATTTGAATTGGATTATTTTTTCTAGTCTACCTTTGAATTGGAAGCGTCGATGCTTTCTAGTGTGTGGCGTGTGTGCCATCCAAACGATGGTCTCTTTCCTGGCCCTATCGCTAGGATAATTTTCTTTCTTGTAGTGTCAAAATGTGAAATCACTAATTGAGGGATACCCCTTGCAAATGTTATAAAAGTTTTTCTTTTCTCGTAAATTTATTTATTCGAAACTTTTATCTCTTAAACCATGCGTCCAAATCACGAACCGTTTTCATCATTGATTCTCATGTCGAGATCTTCGAAATTAGATCCCATATTAATAGGTTTTGACAAAAAAAATCAAGGAAAAAACCAAGCCCAAAGCACTTTTTTTTTCTTTTAGATGTGCCTCCACAAGAAGAAAAATTGTGCCTCTCATGGAAGCAGAAATAACATGTTCTTTCGCGTATTTTTTTTGTGAAATTGTTTTTCTTTAAAACGTAAGGAAAACCAGGCAAAAACCGAAAACCAAGAAAACCAGGAAAAATCTATAACCCAAAAAAGCATAAAGAAAAAAATAATCTAGAGGGAGCACCTAGCATGTGGCACGTGGCCACGGATGAGAGGGCGCCACTTAGCGAGCTCTTAGCCCACCAAAAGTGACGCTTGCAAGGATCCCGCGAGGGGAAACCCTTGGTTAGTTGTTGTCGTCAAAATTTCATTGTTTTGCACCGTCAGTTCCTATTCTACACCTTCAGCGCCGGATATAGTACAAATCAAAAAAAGGCGCACACCCTCAACTGCATTATATACTAAAAGGACCGGCCCACTCTACTCTTCTTATTTTTTTTTCGGGATGTTTTTTCCAATGATTTGTTATACATTTTTCTGGGCGGTTTTCTCTTGTTTTCCCCCCATTCATTTCTCTAATTTTGTTTCACATTACAGTTTTTTCCCTATTTTTCTTGATCGGTTTTAGCTTTGTTTTCCCCCATTCATTTCTCTAATTTTGTTTCACATTACTGTTTTTTCCCTATTTTTCTTGATCGGTTTTAGCTTTGTTTTCTCTTTTCAGATACTATCAAATTCGTGAACTTTTACAAAAATCCGTGGGCCTTTTTCAATTCTTCTTTTCCTTTTTCCAAATTACAGTGAACTTTTTTTAAAAATCGTGAACATTTCTATTTTCTCCAACTTGCATGAACTTTTCTGAATTTCTAACTTTTTTCAAATGTTTATAATATTTTAAAAAAATCTTTTATTTTTGCGAACTTCTTCCAAATTACAAAATATTTCCAAGCCGACAAAATTTTGAAATCCATGATTATTTTTCAAAATTTATGCACTTTTTTCAAATAGCTGAACATTTCATTCAAAATCAATCAACTTTTTTAAAACTATAAACCTTTTTTTAAATTAGGCACATTGTTTTTAAAATAGAAGAACCTTTTTCGAAAATTTATGATTTTTTTCAAATTTATGAATTTTTTTAAATCAGTGAACTTTTTTTTTCAAATTCTTACTTTTGTCAAATTCATGAACTAGTTCATGAACGTTTCTCAAATTCGTGACCTTTTTCATTTCAGTGAACTTTTCCTATTTATATGAACTTTTTTGAACTTCTATTATCAATATTTTTAAGAATTTTGTTTCGAATTTTTATATTTTTAAATAATTTATACTGGGTATTGAATGTTGGTTAACTAAAGGAAGTGTCAAATAGCGCTGGTTTTCCTGAGTTTGGTCAAACAAATGAGCTCGATTTACTAGTTATTAGGTACATCCATCAACGGTCTCATATCTATTTTGAATCCGGCTCCTCCCATTATAGCGAGAGGAAACAACCTCTTTCAAAAAAAAATGACATTGTTTGTGTTCTTATTTTTTTTGTAATCGCTATTTCTCGCACCAAGCGAGACCGTAGGAACTCCCGCTGCGATCTTCAACACTAACAGGCCGGCCCACTCCCTGACA